AAATCCTTTTGTAAATCAGCAGCATCCTCTTCACAGCTAGCAACACCCAAGACCTTAATATCATCTGCAAATTTAAAATTTAAGTAATTTATTGACTATTCCTTCCCTGAGGTACCCCACTTGTGACATTAATCCAGTTTGTTTGAACTTCATTTGTAACAACCCTCTGCATTCTTACGTCCAGCCACTCTTCTATCCAATTTGTTAAATTATCTCCCTACACCTTTAGAGATAATTTGTTTTTACAAACCTTTTATGTGGCACCTTGTCAAATGCTTTCTGACAATCCAGATACGCCAACTCTACACCCTCATCTACATAGGCAGTAACCTTTTCAAAGAATGTCACCATAGTCTCAAATCTCTCTTATAACAATCAAAGATACTTTTATAAATACCTAACATATGTTTTTAGGTTTTCAAAAGCTATTAAGACCTTCAGTTTAGCCAAAAACCTCACCAAAGTAGAGAACCGGTGAGTAGCGTAACAGTCAAATATTCTGATTCTGACATCAGAAGGGCTAACTAATGTCTGAAGTTGTTCGATGACTTACACACCAAAATGTTGCATTTTAACTTGGGGAGTGTAGAAGCCGTATAGTAGAGTTTCATTAATTTCAACACATGATGTCCATCAAGACAACTCATCACGCCAGGCTAAAACTGCCATTCATTATAAAACATTCATTGATATTGTTTTAAAAAAGGGGGGAAACAAGGTAGTAAAAAAAATTAGAAAAATAATGATGATGTCGAGATGGCAATGCCAAAAAGTACAGAAGTAAGGTAGGGATGAATACATAAAAAACATACAAAAATCCCTACATAAGTAGCCACTGAGTCAATGTTACAAACTTATGGGAATTAGCCATTGAAAGACTGTATGGCATTATTCAGTTTAAAGGCTTTTATTCAAACCTGAATTTATGTAATTAAAATAATTCAAAACTTAATTGTAGATATAAGTTTTACTTGAAAATATTTGGCTACTTATATATATATATTTGTGTATTCATCCTTACTTTGTTTCTGTACTTTTTTTGGAATTGCCATCCCTACATCATCCTCATTTTTTTCAAATTTTTTTTATTACTTGTATTAAATTAGGCTTATATTTCTTTGCCCTTTTGCTAGAGTGTTGAGCAGATAGTAAATGATATGCCTATTTTATGATGCCAAGCAGATAAATTAGATGGTAAATTTATAGGCCTAACTGTTATTTGTGATATTAACATCTGGGAAAATGACAGAACAGAAAAACAATGTTAGGTCCATTACTGCGAAGCAAAATATCTAACTTTACTGTCTTCAAAAAATTAAAGTAAAGAACATCTAACTTTCAATCTGAATAACTGTATTAATTTCTTAAGTTTTACAAATCTTGGGATCAATTTTGAGTTGTTTTCAAAATATAATGATAAACTTTGATTAATTTGCTAAGATTGTGCAATTATAAGCTGGTTGTTCATGTTTGCCCTGTTGCTATAGCAGTCTTGATCTCTATTTGTTTATAGTAACTATACATTCCTTCTTACTTACATTGGAAACTAGATGTTAAAAAAATTATATGTAATATTCGTAATAATAAATTTGTAAATAAAGTAAAAATAATTTATAAAAACCATAAAATAGCAAGAGGTTGCTGCCGATTGGTTGCTTCCAAGTGGTAATGACACTAACGAACATGGTGTGACAAGACTCCATAATTAGAAAGAATAGAATCTTGTTGTGGCCAGTGTTAAAATTTCCTCTGTCATGTAATATAACCATATTAATTATAGTGTGGTAGGCACACTATTGTAACCCTTTATTAATAAGTATAAGTCCAAGGATTTCTTGAAGTTGAGAGTTTCACATATGAATGTTCAGTTTTAACTACCTAGCAAAAACAAAAACATTTTTGTGTTAACAGGTAATTAAAATCATTGGTATTAACATAGTTAGAATTTGTTATCAGAAGTGAAAGTTCTTCCAAATTATTAGTTTTTATGAAGTTTGTAGGAAACAATTAAATGCACACACTGCTCTGTCACTAAGATGAATCATGAAAGTGTATAGCTTACCTGGAAAATGAATGTGACAAATTCACTTCTCGGTTTCTGATGAAGTGTTCTGTAGCCTGAAACAACTGCATATACAGTATACTGATATAGTCAATCAAAAATAAATTGGTATTCTACAAATAAGAATCTATTTTCAATAATTATAAACAACCAGTTCAGATGAAATAATCTCACTGTTGTTGATATAGAGCCGAGTACTTTTATAAGAGTTTAATATTTTAGAAATTTTCCTGGTTAATAATGTACATGATCAAGAAAGATAAGAGAATTTGTACATCAGTTCCCCCGAACAATGCTCCCAAGGACTTACCTTTGGCACTAACTTATATGAGCTCATTATCCCTTCCACACTAGATTTTTTTGTGCTTGTAAGTGTCTTAATGCTTCAGGTTATGTTCTCCAGCACTTCTATACTGATTCACTGCTGTACGTCTCTTTCCTGAGTGCAACTAGGTGCCAGCCTACTTCGTTCCACCCTCTTTGTGTTACTGCGTTATTTACTGGGCAAAGAGCATACCCCACAGGTGTGCCTTCTTTTCATATTCTTGCACACCTGTTCTTTCAATGCGGTTGCTTTCTGCTTGACTTTATTTTGATGAACTTTCACCTGCCCCTCCACCTTTGCAATGTAGGATTCTAGCCTTGGGATGAGAGGAGGTAAGACCAATTTGGAAGTTAACATTTTCTTATACTGAAAATGTATTTCCGATAGGTTACCTCGTTTCACCCACTTCCCACCCTTCCTTCCCACTGATTTGCTTGTGTTTCTTGTTTGTACAATTTTCAAAAGTGAGGATTGTGCTAGAATAGTAGAGGGAGCTAGCTATGCTAGTATAGATGGCACAGTGGAATTGGTGGAAGGTAGTCACATGATCAGCACATGTTCTGAAAGGGTGAAAAACTGATAGAGTATAAAAGACTAGTATGCTGGGGAAAAAAACTTGTTAGCAGTGCTTGGAGGGTAAATCCAGATTGAGATAGCCTTGGGGTGAGGCGAGGTAAGTATCTATCAGAAATACATTTTCAGTCTAAGAAAATGTTAACATTTGCATTAGCCCATAATATCGCAGAAGAAGGCCATATAACAGTAAAATATTGGGTTATGGGTCAAATACAAGAAAAAGAAATAGAAGCCAGAAGTCATCCAATGGGGCCCTGATGGGGATGGCCTCTGATAATTGTATTGCACACCTGCTTTTCTAACAAGAAGCCCCAGTATTGATTCCTGGCTCCTGCCACCACGTACCATCTTTCTCAGAGCAGAATTGTATGAAATAAAGCTAACTAGTGCTTAGTTCTAGTAATAAAAATTGGTAACTGTTAGTAAAGAGATGATCATGTACGCTACTAACCATGACATCTAATCCCCACAACCTTACCATGGATCAGAACTGATTAGTAAAGAGATGATCGTGTACGCTACTAACCATGGCATCTAATCCCCACAACCTTACCATGGATCAGAACTGATTAGTAAAGAGATGATCGTGTACGCTACTAACCATGGCATCTAATCCCCACAACCTT